AAAAAAAAAAAAAAAAAAAAAGCCTCAAGCCAACTAGGGAAAAAAGTAATAAATTGGAAGAGATGAGTAGTAAGAATACGAGAATGTATTCAGGAGAAATAAGTAGATGCAATGCAGGATTTTGGAGGTGGTAAACTTAAAATCATGCTCTTGAATATTTTTACATTTTTCTTTAAAATTATTTTAACTTTATTAAGGAATCCAATTCATCAAATAAAAAATTTTATATTTAAAGATGCACCTAATCTCTTTATGTATATTTTAAGACAGATATTTAAAATTATTTTTATTTTTTTTTCCCCTTGTGGGGTGGTAAACAGGATTATCTTGAAATTAAGCGAATGATTTTCCCAAGATTTTACTTTCTCAGCAATGCCGAACTTCTTGACATTTTAGCTGAAAGCAAAAATCCTGATGCTATACAGGTAACATTTCAGTACTACTTTCTAGGAACATTCTTTTTGGTTTTGATAGTGAAAGTGACAGACTGTTGATATTTTACCATCCCATTTTCTTTTACATCTGTACCCCACAGCCTCATCTTGTAAAATGTTTTGCAAATATAAGGAGGCTATATATACGCAGGCATGAACAGAACCCTACAGTGGTGGTGATGATCATATCTGCTGAAGAAGAGACTCTTCAAATGCCAAAGTATGATATGCATTTGTGAATGATTAATACAATAGAAATTTGAACCAGGAAAAGAAAGACATTTCTGTTGTGGTTTTGGGGGGGGGTTTGTTCCCAGGTGGATCTTTCTCATAAATGTATTATTTTGGAAGGATATTTCAATATAGATAGTGGTTGTTTAGGATTTTGCTGTATTTAGGAAACTGTTTCCACAATTACAGCTCTAGCTATTCCCTAACAGTGTATCATTTAAATATTTTGAACATTTGTGCCATGGAGCTCTTACCACAGGTTTTTATAGATCCTCAAGGGGACCATTTCAGTCTTGGAGAAAGTAGATACAGTTTCCATTGATCTGAATGGAATTCACTAGTTTCAGACCTGAAGTTGAATGTTGAGACAGCTGTTAATACTACGTACAAGGATTAAGGACGTCTATCTTCTGTTTATAACATGCATAATTCCATATGAATTCAGAAGATCCTCAGATTTGTTGCATAACAACCAGTACACACTTTGTGTTAGAAAAAATACATTCTATAGCCTAGTCTTCCATAATACTAGGATCTGTAGCCTGTCCCTCTTTTCTGCAGTTGTGGAGGCTGTTCAAAACTATCATGGAGCCCATTCTGACCATTCCCTCTCTTCTGGTTTTCTGTCAGAATTTCTGCCTGAATTGATTTGCACCTTGCCATTTCTTTACTTCGATGTTTTTCAGGCAGTTTCAAGCAACATATAACACTTTTTTCCTTTTCCCTACATCAAGTGTTTTAAATTTGCTGTACCATTAGTCTGCAGATTTGTCACTGCAGTGCCTAATCGCTGGGATTCATTTACTCCTCTCCCTGGGCATGGCCAGTCTTTCTCAGGCAAATCTGGGTTAATCTAAGCCAAGTCTTTACATGGGGCAGCATTTATAGTTTTTCTGAAGGGGGGGAATGATGGTCTGCCTCCCCTTTTTCCCAGCATGAATAAGGTACCATAACCTAGAAGCAGTAGGGCAAAACATCAAGGGAGACATATCTAGAGGTTTCAAAGCGTTTGTTATAAAAAGAAGCAAAAGACTTTTCCTTGGTCCATAGCTGAACAGAAATTTCTACAAAGTTAGTTAAGGATAGCAAACAATACACTGATTATAGAGATCTTTTGTTCTCCCTCTGTCAGGATTACCTTATTTACCCACATAACAACCCCCCCCCGCATTAATCCTCCAAAATTGCATTCTTTGTCTTGAGTGGGGAACCTGATTTTCTGCCCAGAACAGAAGCATGGAGACACTGTGAAATGGCTTTTGCTTCTGTTTTCTTCTCCTCTCCCCCAGCAGCTGCATGAGGAGGGGTGGGGTTCAGTCTTAAGTAGCAGCTACAATTTTAACCTTTCCACAGGTGAATTAGAGCAGTAACAGAGCCTAATCTTCAGCTCAATCATCTTCCTTTTCATGCTCAAGCAAAGCTACAGTTTTAACCTTTTCAGAGATGAATTGACTTCTTTTCCCCGAGCAGGAAAGAGGGAGGGTGGAGTGAGCTGAATGTTACTAGGAAGGTCAGAACCAGGCAGCAATAATTTTGGGGAGAAAAATTCTTCATTCTGCCTTCCCAGAAACAAGGTGTATGTCTTTATTTGGGGTATGCAAAAAAATAGCATCAGTTACTTCTACACCTTGGGGTCTCTTCTTCAGTCAGATCCCTGGACTGCTTCTGTTGTTTACTATTCCAATATCCAAGAGACTAAGACAATTTGCTTCAGTTTGTTTCTGTTTTTGCCCAAATTTCTACTTTTCTGTTTTTTTCTTTTCCTTTTTCTTTATATAATACGTGTCCTTGCAAAATACCATCAGTTCTTTACTCTTATACTTTGGATTTGGTGTATCTACAAAATTTTCAGTAAATTCAAAGACTGCATATATCATGCCTTTAAATTTTCTTTGTTGTGTTCTCAGCTCAGTGTTTTCTACTGGGCCCTTACTTTTGAGCTATTCTTTGGCATTATCAGGGATTGCATCTATTGGAAATCCTTCAAGCAACACAGGCCTATTTTGAGTGTGTTTCTCTACTGGCTGTTCAGTATAGGGCTTGGTCTCCAGCAGATGAGCTTGAGTTTGGTTTCCTTGAGTCCAGTTTTAGATTTTTTTTTAATACTTCAACAGTTACATGACAGCCTTTTGAAAGAGAACATTAACCTGCTGAATTTGATCATAATACCTCTGACCTTAGACATTTATCTTCATGTAACATAATTACGTCTTTTAGAAATTTGCCCTTTGTTGACAAACTAATGTCACCAAAATCATACTTAACTTTTAAATAGATTTTATCCCACAGGATGGATATGTGCATGGGATTTTCTATCTATTCAGATAGAATAGAAAATCCATTTTATCTGGATGGGTTTTCCTTAGATACCCTGCTTTCTGGCATTGGTAGCATATGGACTCAGGTCTCCAATTATACATCACTTTAGTTACTTCCCACTCTCTTAGAATTGAATTCTGCCATCTTACACCTCCCTGAATGGGGTGAAGACCCCTCCCTCCAGCATATGAAGCACATAATTCTTCCCATACTTTTCTAGTTCCAACACGCATTTTATTTCAGCACCTACATTGTTAGGACTCAGTGTCATACTCAGTGTGATACTCTTCAGGCTAAATGCCTATAGTTCTTATGACTCAGTGTGATACTCTTGACAGCTTTGCAGCATGTCTACCAGTTCAGTATGCTCTGGAATCTCAAATTCTTTTCATGCATCACGCATACTATACCATAGTTTTTCCATGGCACAGCTGTGCTAATGCATCAGCTGCTTCAGGATATCCTCCCGGCTGGCTGACATTTTCCAACTTCTAGGTCTGTATCTCAAACTCTTGTTCCTTTCTGAAAAAAATAGTTTTTAGCAAGCTTTTATCCTACCTAGGCTAGGCTATGTCCTGATTACTGGGGCCTTTCATTTTCTGGGTACTGTGACCTTCCAGGTCTCCAGGCTGGTTCTACCACCTGCAACATTTTTATTACTCCAACCTATTGGCCTTCACTACTCTGGTCCTTTGACTTCATCACTTCAGCTGCCATGATCTCCCAGTATCAGAGGAAGGAGTGAAACCTTCACGCCAGCTGCATCTCCTAGCCCCAGGGGCTCCATGTACCCCCCCCCCCCCCCCCCCCGGGGGCCCCATGTCCCCCCCCCCCCCGTCCCCCGGGGCTGGGAGATTGCAGCCACACCCCACAGCTGCCAGGATGCACCTGGGTCCCAGCATCAGGAGGCACACAGCTGCAGGACTTTGGGTCCTAGCAACTGTGGGTACTGCCAGGGGCTGCTGGGGCTAAGAATCGCCTTGGCTGTGGGACTCCCAGGCCCGCCTGAGCATGGTGCACACCTGCAGCTGGGAGCCCTGTCAGCTTAAGGAGGGGGGAGGAGGGGGCAGCGGCAGGGGAGATCCTGCTACACATGCAAATTGAAGCTCAATAGCAACCAGCTATAAAGTTAGTATACATTTTCAAAGCCTAACTTTATAGCTGATTGAAGCTTTTTATAGTGTGATAGGTACTTCACACATGTAGCTATTCTCAAGGTAACTGGTAACTGGTTAATTGCACAGTACCTGTAATGTGCAGAGGGGACCTCAGTCTTCACCAGTGGTTCCTTGATCTTTTGGATGCGGTTAACTTAGTCCACAGTGGGTGTTTCTACATGTTCATTCATGTGCTTTTGCTACTGTGTATTACATGTAGCACAGGGGCAGGCAATTATTTCGGGTAGAGGGCTTGACAGGCCATCGAGGGCCACATGACAGGCAGCCAGGGGCAGCTAAATATTACTTTTCTAAATTTTTTAGGGGCCCCACAGGCTGGATAGAATGACCTGGTGGGCTGCATCTGACCCGCGGGCTGCATTTTGCCCACCCCTGCTCTAATATGAGGTACTACATGAAGGCATGCACTAAGCTGTCCTAACACTTGGTAGTAAAAGTGAGCACCTTTTTAGTAACCAATTCTACTTCACATTAGCACTGTTTTTGCCATGATGCTTTAATGCACAGTAAAATAAGCTACTGTGCATTAAAGCACACATGTAGACACACCCAATCTTGCCTAAGAGGTAGATTTGTTTTTCAGAATCTGGCAAAGAATGTTTTATGAAAACTCTGATCTCACTTGCTTTCTTCCCGGGCTTGAATATAAGGATCCAGAAGAATAGCTCCAGAATCCTTAAAGATCTAAAGGACTTCACCATTTTTTTAAATTAGAAAAAGACTACTCTCAAAGGAAAGCCCACAAATGTTGTTTGGACTTCCCAGGGAATTCCTGAAGAATGGAGCCAGTCAGATCTTGCCAGCGCAACTGATGTAGCCATATTACATTCTATCATGTGAACATGATCCTCACAGGTTATAAAGTGCTGAGTATCACCTGACATTCAGATTCAATGATTTTAGCCCCTCTTAGGCATTGCGTAGGGCTTAGCTCTGATTTGGGCTTCCAGCAGTAAGGCCTAGCAGCTGGGGACTCAAGCATACCCCACACATGCTCTGCTCATTTAAGGTCCCAGGTACACTCCAAACTCAGAATTTTGCCATTGAGACTTCTCTTAGATTATCTCCAGCTCATTTCCATGCCCACCAGACACCACAGTTTGAGAGCAGGCACAGAAGAACAAGCTTGGAACAGCCTTACTGACATATAGTTGCAGATTAAGGTAGAGAGGACATGGGTGACTGGTGCTTTATCTCCATCCCCTTTCTTTCTCTGCCTCTGCTTTCCTCCAAGCCCCTTACCCTTGCTTTGCACTGGGTTGCTCACTATTGCTACAGGGCCAGGCTAGGGCCATGCTTAGTGCCCCAGGCTGCAGCATGGATGGAGCCTGCCATCATGGAGCTGAGTAAGGCAAAAAGGAAGATGGACAGACTGTGGAGGGCAGGAGATGGTGGGATGTGGGGGGAGAAAGAGGTTGCAGTGGGGAGACGGCAGGATGCAGAGGCAGTGGGAGGGGGAGGGGCAGCTGGCAGCACCTGCAACTATGGCCTCAACCACAGTTATGGGCCTGAGCCACAGCAGCTGCTTGCCGCCACCTTCCTTGTACTCTGTTCTAAAACAAGGGGCTTTTTACCTCATGTTAAATGAGAGGAAAAGAACCTTATCTTGGTATCAAGTAAATATGGTAGTATTAGCAGGATGAATAGTTTCTCCCTCGGGGTAATGTTATCAATCTGTTTCCTTCACTGTTTACATATGACACCACTTTTTAATACTTATTACATAAAATCAGGTTCCTCTTTACATAGCATTTCGTAAGAACAGAATCACTCTCTAGTATTATTCCAAATTCCTTTCCTTTCATCTGTCTTATTTTCTTGCATATAACATGCCCCTGAGTATATGTATACCCTATTTTTATAAGGCCCCAAGAAGGAAAAAAAGTCTTTCCAAGGAGTATGTGTAAGTGCCACAGGTCCGGGGTCTCCAGCATTGGGGACAGGTTAATAAAGTTAATAAACTGGGGAAAGATATAGTACAGTAGAAATGATTATGCCAGTTATTCAAGTAAGATTGTAGGAATGCTATTGTAACTCTTCAAAATAAGTAATGACAGTAAATGAACTTTTGAAATACTGTTTTTATAGGAGTATTCGTGTCAGAGGTCCTGTTGAGCAGTGGCTAGGAAATGTAGAGAGCAGTATGTTTGATATGGTAAAAAGGTAAGAATATGTTTTTCATTTGCTAATAAACATGCTATGCCAGGCATTTGGTTATGTTTATATTTATGGCAGCAGCACCCAGAGACTCTTCTACTGGAATCTTATTGAACTTTGTAGTATAAATAATCTGTGCCTCCAAAGATCTTAAAACCATTTTAAAAATCAACTGCCATCTAGAATTAAAAGGGAACAGATCAAATACAAAGTTTAAGGCTGTGTTTGGGAGCAGCTGCATGTAAGCGTCTTCAGAAGTTATTTTAGATTACTAGACTTGGCTTTTCCAAGAGACCTGAGCATTAATCCCCTACTCCTGGAGCATGACTGCAGTTGCAGGATGTGAACTGTCAGTTGGCCTAGTTGCATAAGGTTGTTGGCAGGTAGAGCATTGAGATTGATAGCTACCTTGAATGACTGATTGTTATTCATTAGCCCTGGCTCTTCAAAGCACTGTCTGAACTTTTGTGCTTAGACCCAGAACGATCTTTACTAAGGCAGTAGGGGAGATTCTGGGGGTGGGGGGAGAAAAAGTAGTAATAGATTGGTATAATATAGCACCAGTAACAGGCACTGATGAAGTGCTGTGATTTTGTTTTTTGCATTCTGAATGCTTTTATTCTCTGGAATGCCATTAGTCCCATTTGACTAATGTTTTGCAGAGATCATGCAATTTGTTTCATGGACAAAATGTTAGACCGCAGAAACATCTCTTAAGGGCTTGTTTCTACAAGATGAAGAGTACCAGATGTATGGTTCAAAGTATCTGCAAATGGCATTAAGGTTGGCGAGCATTAGCCATGTTGAGCCCCTAGTGATCTGGTATGGCACAAAAAATACTCAGAACAGCAAAATTTGTTTGTTCTAAATACTCCCCACATTAGCTAGGGATTCTTCGATGTGATTCAAAACCTTGGCATATAGCAGCCTCATAACTGATGAAGGGCATTTTGTGATTGATCACTTAATTTATGCTGATGGCATGATATATTTGTAGATTTGTAAACCTTGGAATCATAGAATGGAATAAAGTGAAATTTAAACAGTGGTTTCTGACTCATCCAGGACAAGTGGTACTCCTTGTGGTAAGTATTCTTGACAACTCATTCAAACTGAAAATAACATTACCATTTCACTTTAGAATTTTTATTCATTGAAAAATTGTTTTTAATATTTGAAACTTGTTCGTAATGCTATATAGAGGTGTTTTTCTAAACTTCTTTGTAAAATGCTTGACAAGTTGATGAAAATATGATTCATTGATTTACGTCTTTTAATTTCTGTAGTTGAATACTGTTCCTACAGTCTGGAACATTTTAACAGTTCTCTGGAGGAGGGACCATTTTGTGTTCAGCAGATAAGATGAAAGAGAAGGTAGTTTTGACACTGGACCTCAAATTTAATAGACTTAAAGTAGGTAGGAAGTATTTTGAGGGCTGTGACAGAGGTTTGCTGTATACCCAAGAGAAACATTATTGATTCATGATGATTTTATATAAGTAACATTTAAGAATGTGAAAAACATTAATCTAATTTCTGAACTCAAAAATCTAAAAAAAAATACAGAAGAATATGGGGGGAAGGTTAAGATCAATACAATCTTTAGCATTTGAGAAGCTTACTTATTTGTGAAAGGCTTGTTTATACATGCTGTAATGTCTTTTTTTTTTTTGCCCATGTGTTCAAAAAGGAGCTATCAGTAATAAAAGAAACTGTAATTAATGCTACTAGGATAATTCTGCTTTTTTTTTAGAGCCAGATCATGTTTAATAAAGATTGTACAAGAAGCTTCCAGAGTTCTGACCAAAAAAAGGAATGCATGGGTGTTCATGACAAATTAGTGCATTGTCTTGAGCAGCTTGCTGAGATGGTGTCTGACATTCTGCCACTTCACAAGCAAACCACACTGGAAGCATTTCTTACTCTGTACATCCACTGTAGAGACATATTATCTAGTCTGATGGAGAAACAAATCTTCAAACTGGATGATTTTGAATGGACAAGGTACAGTTGTTTTAAAGTATTATAGCCCTGAATAGTAGCACTATCTGTTATAAAGGCTGCCAGACATTTCCTATTATGAGATTGTTCCAGTGATTTTTTTTTTTAACTTTGCCAGACTTCAAGCATATGGTACTGCATACAGCATATCTACCCAGGCTGGGATGAAAATTGAATTGTAGAAGTAGGGCTGGCTAGGCAAGGAAAACGAGGTTAGGATGAGGAGCCAAGAGTGGGAAAGAGGCAAGTGCAGGAAAAGGTACAGGAACAGGATGGTTGGAATTGGGCAGGAGTCAAGTACAATCTCCTTTAGAGCCATGGAATGGAACCCAAGATTCTTTTTTGAGTGACTGTCCAAATATACATTCCAGTGAGCAGTCATCCCCAAATAGGGCAGCAGTCACTGGAGGAGCCCACACTCACCTTTGTGGATGTTCTTCTATAGTGCATACAAGGCAATGTGGTTTTATTTGTCAAAAAGAGTGTTATGGACTAAACCAAAGCAGCCTGGCATCTTGATGCATGTTCTGCATTCAGCTCAGACACTACTTTGCCTTAGCAGTACCCAGGTGATGCATATGTGTCTATCGTACTTTGCACCTCCCATTTGCTTCCTTGGTATCCTGACTCAATACAGAGCATTTCTGCTGTCCTTACCAAATGGAGGTTTGGGGCATTAAACTCTGTTTGTAGGCTTTACCATTGGCTTCATAGCCATAGCATCATACCAGATGGAAACCAGCCTGGTGTCATACCGGTCACTGACATTGAGACCAAAGCATGAGGCAGTGCATAGTCAGTTGCCCAATGAGTTGCCTTTAGAATCTAACTCCAACAATGATTATGGCAATGACCAGGTCTCTGATCAATCTTACAGATGTTCATGAAGACTGTCTTCCATCTTTTCTCACCTCTCTTTCTAATACAGGGTTGTGGGTCATCCACCCAGAGACTCTGATATCCTGCTCTTGGTCTCAAGGCTCATTCCTGGCTTTGTTCATTTGCCCTCTTGGCTCTGAGTCACTCTGACTACAGGGCTTTTTAAGGACAGAATACACAGCTTGAGATTACTCTACTTCTTTAGCCTTCAATACCGTTCTGTCATCATCATCAGCTCCTAACAAGGACTTATCAGAACTGCAAACCCAACTTTGTATCTTTCTTATCCCCAAATGGGGTAGCAATCATCCAGCCACTCTGTTAGATGCAAAAGGTAAACATTTTTGGGTGATATCTTTTATTGAAACAACATATAGATAAGCTTTTAGACATAGACACATAGATAAGCTTTTAGGTATGAAGTACCTCTCATCAGACCTGGGGATCCAGGAATCCAGAGTGGCCCTAACAAACTCCAGTCACTACTGGAAGTAGGTTTGACTTCTAAGCTTTTATCCTAAACCCCAGGGTCTAAAACAAATATAGGGTAGTGTAGAGATCCCCCACTTAATAGGAAGACCCGCCGTTCATCAGCCAGTCATCCAAATCCAAGTATGTCATATTATTGTTCCAAAGGAAGGCAGTTACCACTGTAAGGATTTGGATGAAAAGATGCAAACCCTCAGGGTCACTGACAGATCAAACAGTAGGACCTTCTCTTGGTCCTGGTGTAACTGTCCTGGAGCACCTCAAGGTAGTCTGATGCCCCCAGTCATTGATACTATTCTGTTGGCCCTCCCCTCATCCCAAAATGCCTACATACCTCTCACCTGCCAGGACTTGATGATACTGAAATTTAGGAAGTAGGTCCTGAGGCCATTAGGACAGAAGCAAATTTTACATGTCTCTATCTGTACATCTCTGGGCCACCTTTGCTTTGTCTCTATGGTCCTTTGGGCTCTCTGGCCCTCAGTCAGCAGTCTAGCAGGCTGAACTCCCTGCATTTAGTTCCTTAATTAAGCCAGAGCAAGATAGCTTGGATCAGCCTGTGATGAGCATTCAGCCTTGTTATGTTGATTCTGCCTCTCCTTTCCAGCCTGCTCATAAAATTCCTGCCACCTCCAGCTCCTTCAGTCCACCCCAGTGGGCTTCACCACCCTCCAGTTAGTTCTAGCCAGGGTGCCTTTTCTTGGCTTCTCTCTGGCTCCCACCCCAAACTCCGTACACAGTCCTCTTGGGCTTATTCACAGCATCCAGTTCCTAGCACTGCTTCCATTAATTCCTAGCAGGGAGCTTCTGCCTCCAGCTCTGCCTGGATCAGACTATCCCACTCTGCCACTGCACCTCAGTTATATCCCCAGGGCCTGCTTCTTTCAGCCTCCCAGCAGCTCATCTTAAAGGCAGCGATCCACATTTCCTTACTGTTACTCTAATTCTCTCCTAACTGGGTAGTTCCCTGTGTCACTGAAAGGGAAAGTACAGTAGGCTAGGCTTGTTGTTCAGGGCTGCTGGAGAGTGTGGGCTTGCCATTCAGCAAAGGGGAAACACCTTTGGGTAGTTGAGGAACCACATGACTGGAAGGGGCAGCACTTAGAGCAGTAAGGGCAGTCTGGCTGTGCATGCTGCAGGTGGAGGAACTCCCAAAAGAGAAGGACTGCAGGAGGCAGCCTGACACCCAAGCCACCCAAGAGAGCCAGGATGAGAGGGCTCCAAGGGAGGTATGGCTTGTGGAGATATTGACTCAAAGTGGGGAAGACCTTTAGTTTAAAAGCAGCTTGCTTGTGTTTATGTTGTGTTTAAACTGGAAACTGGTAGACTAGATTGTGGCTACAGGGGAGACCAGGGAGGGGTAGCTGTGGGGCATTCAGTAGCAGACAGCTCAGCCCAGGTCAGGGACTAGAGGGCTGAAGATGGGGACAGTAAGGGCAGCATGGCCTGGGGTCAGGGACCCAGTGGCTCAGGGCAGAGATGGTGAGGGCATTCCATCCTGGGGTCAGGAACTCTGGGGCCGGAGGGCTGGCCCAGAGAATGCGAGTGCAAGATGGGGCCCTGAAGCCAAGGTCCAAGACAGCGGACCTGGGATGAGAGGCACAGTGGGAATAAAAGGGGCAAGGCTGGGAAGGCCAAGGCCCAGACAGAGAGATTCACGGCCTGAAGGCTGAAAGCTGCATTGGATCAGGGGGCTCCTTCCAATGAACATGAAGTAACATCTGCAAGGCATGAGTATGGCTACAGGGGAGGAAGAAAACCACACATATAGCCCCTAAGGCAATTGGCACCCTGAGGTTCTTTTGAGGTAGAGGGCCATAACTTAGTGACTTAAACTGGGGCAAGCCAGGTACAAGGGGTGCCACCAGCCAGAGTGAACAAGGGTTTACCCTGCAGCAGCCTCCCTTAATGCCATAATAGTACCATCAAGGTGTGGCAGGAAAGGAAAAGGGAAGCTCCCTTAAGAACAAAAGATTTATGTGATCTGAAGAGAAACCAGAGTACTTCCCTGCCACACACCCCCACCTAAGAGCTAGAGTGAAGAAGCAGGAGGAGAAACCATATGGCCACCAGGGGACACCACAGCCACCCCAAGTGGCTGGTCCTTGTGCAGTCCCCTTAGGGGGCAGCAGGGCAGGCCCTATGAGGAGAGGCTCAGGGACCTGAACCTGTTCAGCCTCCACAAGAGAAGGCTGAGGGGGGATCTAGTGGCCTGTTACAAACTGGTCAGAGGGGACCAGCAGGCATTGGGGGAGTCCCTGTTCCCCTGAGCGCTACCAGGAGTGACTAGAAATAATGGTCACAAGCTGGCAGAGGGGAGATTGAGACTAGACATCAGGAGGCACTACTTCACTATCAGGGCGGCTAGGATCTGGAACCAACTTCCAAGCGAAGTGGTGCTGGCTCCTACCTTGGGGGTCTTTAAGACAAAGCTAGACAAACACCTTGCTGGGGTCGTTTGAGCCCAGTACTCTTTCCTGCCATGGCAGGGGGTCGGACTTGATGATCTGCTCAGGTCCCTTCCGACCCTACAAACTGTATCTGGCTTCCCACAACCTCATATCTTCTGTGCAGACTATAGAACTGGTGTTCCCCTTCTTATTCTTTGTTCCTGGTCTTCAGAACACCTGGGCAGATAGCCTTGGCAGGCATATGTCCCCTTAAAAGAATTGTACCTTATTACTGAGCATACAGCTATTTTTCAGCATAGTCACCTTTCCATAGTGGCCTTTTTCCACCGGTGAACCAAGACATGTGTCTTGATGTTGTACAGGAGTCAGTCAGAAAGTAATGCCTTCTGATTTTTACCTCCTAAGCAAGCTATGGACATAGACAGTGTTCCTCCTGACTTCTTGCCTAAAGGGGACCACAGTAAACTGAGAGATGTATGTCAGGGCCCTGAAGACAGTGAAATATTGCATGAGAAGAGCCTGTCCCAACAGAGATGTGTCCAAGATGCTACTTCTTTGTGACAAAACTTGCCTGCTCACCAGCTTGTATACCAAGAGACGGTCGTGTTGTTTGGATGGACTGTTAAGCCCAATCTCCTTACGGCCCAGAGGATGAAGAACAGACTTTAAGGGTGACACTTTTGTGACAGCAAAGTGAGGAGGCTGTTCAACAATGACTGCACAGCAAGGACAAGGACTTTTACAACATCCCTCCTGACATCCAGGGTCTGGAAAAGCAGTCTTTCATTCATGGTCCTCCTAGGACTCTGAGATTTTGCCCCATGTAAAATTGGAACTACTTTGCCATATGCATATGGCCAATCACTCAAAACAGGAAAAAGAAGTTACTTATGTATAGTAACTGGAGTTTTTCAAGATGTATTATTCATATGCATATTCTGTACCCTGCCAACCATTCTCTCCTTGGAATCCCATTTGTTCTGGGTTTCTGCTCTTGAGAAGAAATAGAGAATCTGAGATATGCTCTATTCCCCGCTTAGAAACAGCCTAGGGAAATGCTACAAGGACACATTTAAGGCATACCTGAAGAAAACAGATGCCGACATCAAGAGTTGGGAGGAGATGGCTGCCAACTGATCCCATGGTGCCACAACCTCAACCAAGTGGTGGATCACTTTGAGGTAAAGCGTCTTGCCCTCAAAGCAGAGAAGAGATCATGGAGGAGTAAAAGGAGAGAAATCCCAGCCTGCAGCCAACTCTGCCCTGTGGAAAGACCTGCAACTTCTGTGAACAGGACTGTTGCTCAAGGATTAGACTCTTAAGTGGCATGCACTCATAGACTGTAGACTCATAGATTATAAGGCCAGAAGGGACCTTGGAAGATCATCAGGTCCAGCCCCCTGCACCAAGCAGGAAAGATAACCGAGTGTCAGGTGAGCCCAGCAAGATGACTGTCTAGTTTCCTCTTGAAGATTTCCAGGGTTGGTGATTGCACCACCTCTGGAGGGAGCTTATTTTACAGTCTGGCCTATCTTTAAAGAAGTTTTTCCTAATATTAAGCCTGAAACAGTCCTCCAGGAGTTTGTGACCATTGCTCCTGGTTTTCCCCAAGGGTGCCCTGTTAAATAGTTGTTCACCGAGCCCTTGATGTACGCCCCTGATGTAGCGGTAAGCTGCCATGAAGTTCCCTCTCAGCCTTCTCTTCTTCAGGCTGAAAAGTCCCAGGACCCTTTCCTCGTATGGCTTGCTGTGCAAGTCTCTGATCATATGGGTGGCCCTTCTCTGGACTTTCTCAAGCATTTTAATGTCTCTGTTGGAGTGCAGCATCCAGAAGTGGATGCAGTACTCCATCTGCGGTGTCACCAATGCCGAGTAGAGCAGAAGAATCACTTCCTTGGTTTTGCAAGATGAGTGGCACAGAGCCACTCCACAGGGCAAATTAAGCCTCACTTGCCAGGATCAGGGCCTGGGAGTGGGCCTTGGGGCCTGGCACCGCCCCCTTGCCCCTGCATGCTGGGATTGGTCCCTGGAGGCCCAGAACCATCCACCCCCCCCCCCCCCC